CATGCAAGAGGATTTCCAGCTTTCTTCTTATGTCGCCATGTGTCCCATGTAACTCCTCCACTTGTCCATTTCATGGGATAATGGGTGGTTACTGGAAGTTAATAAAATTACCCACATGCTTTTTTCCTATCATGGGAAGTTACTGGAGATAATGGGGTACTCCATTTTTCCATTTCGTGGGCACCAGAGAATAATGGGTCATTTAACCACATGGCTTTGGAACAATTATTCCATGCATCACGGCCCACAATCTTCTTTGTTCCCAACGGTTGGAGTTAATCCACAAATCATGGGCCAATTGGCCTTGCTCCAAATTACAAAATTAATACGGCCCATTAATTTTTAGCTCACGAGACTCATAAAAATCGGCCCAATTTAATTAATATTTAATTAAATAGTCATCCAATGCTAGCCCAAGATTTGGTGCCAAAAACGGGTGTAAAGACATACCCATGCCTTAATCCCAATGGTTTGCAGTAATAGGAGAATGAAGGATGATGGGCGAAGAAAAAGCTAATAAATACAATCTTGTGAAAAAGAAAGACATTTATCTTTGGAAGTGATCCGCAAGTAACATATCACAGCATCGACACTTTCAAAATTGGAGCCAGGAATTTCACTACCCTGTGTGCAAGACAAAAAATAAAAAGAAATGTACGTGAATACATAAAAATTAAAAACGTACAAAATAGCAACACTCCATACTTAATTATGCTTTTCATATTGCAAAAGCATTAACGACTTACCTCACCTTATCTAGTAAAACGAGGAATCTTCAATTGCACTCGATGCTCTTTCATGTCATTAAAAGTATCGATCGATGATAAAATTGGAATCAAACTTTTTCGCAATATCCTTTTCTATGTAAGTGATTTAGAAATTTGCTAAAAGTTCATCCCTCATCCTGTTGTAGAGTCTAGTATTCACATATTTTATAGACTTAGATTTTACCAACATTACTTAGGATTCCAAAATCTCTTTTCTTAGGTTCTTATTTTCTCGAAACTGCCTTCAAAGTCTTGAAGATGTGGTATTCTTGTGGGGAGAGAGAGAGAGAGAGAGAGAGAGAGAGAGAGGGGTCGGTGTGCCATGGAGATTTTTTAGGCAGAGAGAAGAAAATATGTGAAACCCAACGATTGAGGATTTTCGCAGGTAAAATTGGGAGTTAAATAATTAATTAAGTACTCACTATGTTAACCCTTAAATTTTTATTTTACATATAATAAATATAGTTTTTTTTTTCTTTTTGCAGGGTGACCGCCTCTCCTGGCTCCATCCCTTCAAATCACAAAGGTATAATACTTCTTCAGAATGAATGAACAGTAATGGCGTTGACAAGTCCAATTTTTTTTCGGTCAAATGGAAATTCAACAAGTCCAATTTTACCACAAGATGATTCAGAATTTTGTTACTCCTTCAAAAAAAAAAAAAACTCTCTGAACCCTAGCTGCCTCCTCTGCTAGCTTCCTCCCTCCCCTCCCTAGATGATGGACTAGATGAAAGCCTATGTTTCAGTGGATTGGAATTTTTTGCCAGAACTAATGAGTTGATGTGGAAAAATAATTCCTTTGCTCCGCCGCAGAGGAATTAATAATATCAACCATAATTGCTAAGGTTTGGAGTAACTATGAAGATTATTTCATGAAACATAAGGGGACTAGGTAGCTCAGTTTAGAAGAGATCTTATCAAAACTAATAGAGGAAAAACAATGGTGATCTAGGGCTCCCCAAGGTTGGAAGTAGAGGAAAAACTTCTAATGTTTGGAAGGATATATGTGCTATATATAGACACTATGTGTGCTGTTATGGGAGATTGTGTCATCAAGGGTTTAAGTTCAAGGTCAATTCAAGAACAAAGATAAAATTTTGGAAGCATAAATGGTTGGGTGATGAGACTCTTCAAGCTATTTTCCCAGGGCTTTCTATTTTGTATACCCAAAAAGAAGCAATGGTAGTTGACATGGTGGATGATCAAAATCAAGATTTCGGGAAGTTCCAATTCAGGAGAGTTTGTATAATTGGGAAAGAGAACAACTTCAAAATCTTGTGCCGTTGCTGAGTAGAATTGCCTTTCAACATTAAAGATACTGATGATCATAGTTTGTGGCTTTGCTGAGTGGAAGGCTAAGAGAGGTTTTCGGACTGATGATCATAGTTTGTGGCTTTGCTGTTAGTATTGAGACTCAGATGTGGTTATTAAGGGGATGTTTGGAGGCTGTTTATCTTATTATTGTTTCAAAAGCTTTGGGTTATTCAGCGTCCTATTTCTTGTCAACTACTAAGATTAGGAGGGCTAATAGGATTGGTGGTGAATGGTGATCTAGAATTAATTCTTCTGGAATACTGATGTTGTTGAATAATGGAGGCTGATATTGGTAATTATACCACTTTTGCTTCAAGTGGTGACTTAATTATCAACTACAAGTCGACTTGCTCTGGGGTAGGACTTGTCTGAAGTGGTGATCATGGTTATCTTGGGATTTTCAGGATGAGTTTTCTGGTTTGATACTTTGGGGTATTGTAATCTTGGGCTCATTCAATCTTCATTGAATGTATTTTTTTTTTCCTTTTTTCCTCGCAAGCCTCTTATGGTACCCAAATCTATGTGGTCCATATTTTATCTTGTAACCTTTGTCGAGTTTCTAATAAAATTTTGTTGCCTATAAAAAAAAACTAATGAGGGTTACGGAATTTCCTGGACAACTAATTTAGTGGCCGGGTGCAAACTTGCATCATACCTCCTATGTTTTCAGTTATTAATGGGGAATCGGAGGGGGGGTTTCCAAGCAAAAAAGAGGGCTGAAGCAAGGGGAACCTCTCTCCCCATACCTGTTCTTGTTAGTTATGGAGAGCTTTACTTCTCTTCTTCAGTACAGGAAATTGGCCTTCAATGCAGATTATGAATTTCGCCCAAAGTGCATGTTAGAATAAATAGATATAATAAATAAAATTGTGATCTTGAGATTGTGATTTATTGTAATTAGGATAATTTTCTTCCATAGTTAATTAGTATGATTTCATTCCATAATTAGGCTCCCTCTCCTATAAAAATAGAGGGCTCATTGTAAGGTTTCATATATCGAATTCAATAAAACTTTCTCTTCATATTTTACATGGTATCAGAGCTATAAAATCTAAGCCTTGTCGCTGCCGTCTACCGAGCACTTAGTTACTTTGTCAAATCTCCTTCACACTTTCCGGTTGCCTGCACTCACCATGCCTCTTCAGCACCAGCGCTCGTGGCTTTTCGATTATTGGCTTATTCGTTTTTTGGCTTTTCTTAGTTATTCCTGATTTTCTTCTTGGCTGTTCGCCTGGCTTTTGGCTATCCTGACTATTTCTCTCTCCTGGCTTCTCTTGGCTTGGCTATTCTTAGTTTATGTGGACTTTTTCAAACTCAAGTTGGTAGACCTACTTGAGTTTGAGGGGATGTTAGAATCCTTACATATACTAAATAATATCGTAATCATATCATGATATTGAGATTGTGATTGTATTGTAATTGATTACGATTTCATTATAATTGGGATAATTCACTTCCATAGTTAGGCTCCTTTCTCTTGTATAAATAAAAGCCTCATTGTACGGTTTCATTATCGAAGTCAATAAAATATATCTTCTCTCATATTTAACAGTGCAGACCTCTAAATATCACCCATTCGGTTAATTGCAGATGCGTTATCTGATTTCCACTTGTTTTCGGGCTTAAAATATGCAGAAGAGTTGCATTTTCTTCTCAGGGGTTGAAGATGTCTCTAAGGCTTGTTTAAGGTATATTCTGCCAATTCTTGAGAGGACTCTTCCTGTCAAATATTTTGGAGTACCTTTTTTTTTTTTTTTTTTTTCCGGCAACTATTTTGGAGTACCTTTAATTACATCTAGACTTGAAGTTGCATACTGTGTGATCAGTTGAAGGGGGAGATTTTGGCCAGAATTCAATCTTGGTCTAATAAGGTCCTATCCTATGTAGTTAGAGCCCAATTGGTGAAGTCAGCTAGCCCTCTTTATTGGTCTTCCAGGGCTGGCACTGCATACAAGTGAATGGACTTATGCTAAGTCACATAAGGCGAATGTGTGAATAAGAGCAAGAGAGCGAGCTCAAGCGTGAAAGCGACCTCCCTCTCAAACTACTTAAATCCGCGATAGCGAGAATAAAATCTTAAAGCGAGGATTGAGAATGGAAGCAAAAAGTCCTACAAAATGATTATATAAACAATTAACCAAACTAAATTTGTTTCTATATAACCTTATAATTATGTTAACGATTTAATTTTAAAGCATATAATGATCGGCTAGCACTAGTTTCTTAATAAACAGCCTACAGAAACAAACAGCATAGGAGATAAATGATTGCCATTTTTGTCTTATTTAAGGTTAGTTGTTTCAAAATTCGTAGGGTGAATCACTCAATTTCATCCTACGAATTTTAAAAAAGTTCTTACCGATATCTGATTGAGCTGATTTTTAGGAACCCATAAAATTTTTTTTTTTAACAAAATGTGCGGTTTAGATTATTCTGTGGGACCCACCTTGGGTCCACAAAATTGGTCTGTGCATGATTTGTGCACAACATTTGTGCTCACCGGACTTTTGATTTAGTTATAGTCTGGCCTTCAATAGACTTTGCAAAAATATATATATGGAGATTTTGAATTCTACTTTTTCAAAGTAACTGGACAAAATTTCGATTCAAAATAATTTTACCAGCCAATATAACTCATGCAAACTGGTTAAATTTAAAACAATAGGTCAAACAAAGCATATTCTTACATACAAGGTACATGGCAATGTCCTCCTATTTGATCGAATAACCACAAATTATTCCTTTTAAAAACCTTGATGAAATCTCATTTGAGATCGATGCCATTGGCAAATAGAGCTTAAATACTTTTAAAAGCTTCTCTAATTTTACAATTCAAGCTTGAACTCACTGCTCGATGTGCATGCATCTTGTTTGTCTACTAATTAATGTTACACGAGAATAAAAAAAAATACCAAGTTCCTTAGTAGCTCAGTGGTAGAACGGTCGGCTATTAACTTATCGGTGGTAGGTTCGAATCCTACTAGAGGAGATTTGATTCATTGTGAATTCATTAATTCAAAAATGGAAGAGTGTAGTAGTAGTAGAAGTTATGTAATCAAGAAATATTGTCTATTAGAAGTACAGAATGCTTGTTTGAGGTAATGACGTTGAGAACCAATTGATTTTAGAGAAATATACTTCATATTTGAGATCGATGTCAACGAACTTATTTGCCCAATAAATTCGTAGTGAAAGCCCTCAATCACTCACAATTCGATCATACAAATACTGGATTTGGCAGACCCAATCATTGGGTCCTCGATCAAACATTTGATTTCAGAATTGATTTTGCAGACGCAATTGATTTATGAAACAATTGTTTAGTCATAGTAAGTTTGATTATATTGGATTCTTGGATACAAAACATTACGTAAAATAATTTAGTCATACTTCGCTACTAGACAAACGCGAGCATATATTTAATTTCATGGCTTCAAATTCTGTGAATTGGCTCACAATAAAAATTTAAGTGTGAAATTCTTCATGAACAGCGGATCAAAAAATAAATAAAAAAATTCTTCATGAACTTAACAACAATCGATTCTCAAACCGCTAATCGATTTTGAAATTTATTGGAGAAAATTAGTTAATTGATCTAGGACACACAATTATGATCATTAGTGGTGCTAATTATGAGAATTTTTTCCGTGTTGACAAATACTTGTACTTATGATCATTAGTGGTGCTAATTATGAGGATCCCGAAAAGTCAGGGCCGGCGACATGGAGGGGGACCGCCTGCACCTGGAGTTGACCTCACCCCAAGTTTAAAACTCATCGTTTACCCAATCACTTCCACAGAAGCAAACTTCAACCATTACCATGTGTTTCTCTCTCATCCCCTTTCCCTTCATCGCCGGTGAGATCTTACTCCTAATTCCCCAATCTGTTTCCGCTGGTGAGATATTGCTCCTAAGTCCGACAGTATAAAAAATCATATATACCATGTGTTTCTCTCTCATCGCCTTGTGCGAAGGGCTGCGTTTTTCAAAGAGTAAGAATCCGATCGATGGTTGTGTGATTCAAACTGAGGGATCTTGTCGTTGCTTTTCACTGGATGAGGTACGAATAGCGACAAACAATTTTGATGATGCATTAGTTATCGGGAGCGGGGGATTCGGCAAGGTATACAAAGGGTTCATCGACGATTGTGCTACGATGGTTGCCATAAAGCGGTTGAATGCCGAGTCCAAGCAAGGTGCGGGAGAGTTTTGGATGGAGGTCAAGATGCTTTCGAAGCTCCGGCACGCTAATCTCGTTGCGCTAATCGGCTACTGCAACGAGTGTGAGGAGATGATTCTTGTTTACGAGTATATAGCTCTTGGGACCCTTGCCGATCATCTCTATAGGCTTAAAACAACTGAAAGCAACATGGGTTTTTCTCCTCTCTCTTGGGAGGAAAGGCTTGCCATTTGTATTGGTGCTGCCCGCGGATTATACCACCTTCATTTTGGTACTAACCAAAGATTCATACATCGAGATGTGAAGACCACAAATATTCTGATAGACGAGAATTGGGTAGCTAAGATTTCGGATTTTGGATTGTCGAAAGGCCCTACAAGTCTTTCAATAACCCATATAACCACAGAAGTGAAGGGCACATTTGGGTATTTTGATCCCGAGTACTTCATTACTCAACGACTAACTACGAAATCTGATGTGTATGCATTCGGTGTGGTATTGTTAGAAGTGTTATGTGGGAGGGCAGCCGTGGATAGAAAACTTGGCGAGGAGCAAATGAGTTTAGCCACTTGGGCTCAACAGTGCATTAAAGAGGGAAAACTTGCCGGAGTCATTGACCCCTCTCTCAGTGGACAAATAGCACCACGTTGTTTGAAGTCTTTTGCTGTACTTGCCAAAAATTGTTTGCAAAAAAGTCCAAAATCACGGCCCACAATGGCCGAAGTGTTGCACAGCCTTGAGCTCGCATTAGTATCCCAACAGAGAAGAAGAACAGAGGGAATAATGATGAAGTCCTTTCCGAGTAAGATAGACCGGTGGTTGAAGGAGATGAAGAACATCAGTTCCTCAAGTGGACAATCAAAAGATTTGCAGAGCTTCAGGTAATCTGTTTAGAAAAAGAGCCAGTTATATTTTGTGAATATGTGATTCTTTTATCGATCGATCTATTTTTTATTACAGTGAGGATCCTGAAATTCTCTTTAAGTACATCAAGGTTGCTGCCAAGGCTGGACAAATCGACAAGGTCGAACGCGTGACAAGGGAATCAAACTTCTATAACCCTGAAAAGACAAAGAAGTTCTTGATGAAAGCAAAGCTTCGCGATGCACGACCACTTATCAATGTATGTGATCGTTTTGGGTTTGTTCCAGAATTGACCCAATACCTTTATTCGAACAACATGCTCAGCGACATTGAAGGTTATGTTCAGAAGGTAAGAGTTATGTCAAGGGTCTTAGATAGCATTTTTGTCACTTGAAAACGAGAACTCATGCAAATTTGATCTGTCTTTTTATCACCCAAAAAATGAAATCACAAACTCGGAATTACCAGTTATTCCTAGAATAGTTGTTTAGTCCGAAATTATTCGCAGGGAGTAAAAAGCTAAGTTATTGTGGATTCAATTGATTTCTAACTTAATCCAGTAATAAAATCGAATCTTGAATTTCTATAGTTTAAACTAAAATTAATCTGAGAATGAATCAAGGTTTTGAAAGCAGGGGAGAGAAGGGACCAGGGTTCCAATTCACCTTCCCCTTGCGATATAATCCAAACAAAATCCGAGTAATTATTCAACATAGAAATTAACGTAGGATTGTTGTTACAATTGGTTTTGAGATGGACATAAAGTATCTACATGGCATCAGAGCGAGGCCCATTCCACCCCACATTTTAAAAATTTACAATCCACACCCCACAATGACAGACTAGTGAAAAGGTTGCACGATGATAGGATCCAAAAAGTGGCCACACGTGACAGACCTCAAATGTTGTTGTACGTGAAGGGGATGTAGGAAATAGAGTTCCACATTGCTTGGGAGTGGTATGGGTGATCACTTAATAACATTTGGGACCTCTCCACTCATTGCCAATTGGTTTTGAGATGGACATATATAAAGTTTCTACAATATATCGTAATTCCCTTCTCGGTTCCATCCACTTAAATTCCTAGTCAAGCCCAATTTCTTACACAAACCAATCAAGGTAACGGACCCACCACTAGATTATTTATAGGGAAAAATGATTGGCTAATGACGTGTTTTGATAATTAATGTTTGCCAATGACATTTTTAGCATTAACAAATGTTCTCAGCATGTCATTGGCGGATATTAATTATCAAAACATGTCATGGGCCGCCATTTTCCCTTATTTATAACTATCACCATTTAACTCCTGAATTTAGCTCCATGTGCCATTCAATTGCAAGTCCTGAAACGAGAAAAACGAGCATCAAACTCCAAGTAAAACACTAAACGGACGTAACAAGCATAAATTAGCTAAATGTACCTATCAAAAGGCTAGAGTGCTGAACTATTCTTGCATTTCCCTGGATAGGAAAACCCAGGAAATGCTCCGTTAGTAGTAGGGCAGCTGCTGGATGATAAGTGTCCTGAAGATTTTATTAAAGGCCTTATTCTATCTAGCCGTTCTCTGCTTACAATTGAACCACTGGTGGCAGAGTTTGAAAAAAGGTCAGCTTCCACTCTAGCTACCTCCCTTTTCTCTCCTTAGCTGCTTCGGATCCTCACACTTAGCTTATGTTTTTCAGGAATCGACTTCAATTACTTACCCAATTCTTAGAGCATCTTGGGAGCGAGGGGAGCCAAGACGTACACGTTCACAATGCTCTAGGAAAAATCATAATAGACAGCAACAATAATCCAGAACATTTTCTTACAACAAATCCGTACTATGATTCTCGTGTTGTGGGAAAATATTGTGAGGAGCGGGATCCCACCCTCGCTGTTGTTGCTTATCACAGAGGACAATGTGACAAAGAGCTCATCAATGTAACAAATAAGCACGCCCTATTCAAACTGCAAGCGAGGTTAGTAATTATTTTTGTTTTAGCTTTGTAATACCTGTAATTGTAGAAGAGTTTGGAGGAGATTTATCTAACCCATCTTTTTATTTCAGGTATGTAGTTGAAAGGATGGATGGTGATCTGTGGGAGATGGTTCTTAACCCTGAGAATGAATTTAGAAGACAGCTTATCGATCAAGTTGAATCTACTGAAGGCAATAGCCTACACCAACGGAGAAGTTGGATTCCCCGGCGCCCAATAAACGCCAATTAAAGGCCGAGTAACGCCACCTATTATTGCAGTGACGCTTATTCTTTAATGCCAAGGACGCGGCCGTTGGCTTAACTTATTGGCGCTTTTGAAAACATCGCCTAACTTGCAGGCGCTTTAAAAAACGTCCGGTCATAATACTTCTGTGCTAATAATGATTCTTCTCTGGAGAAGTGGGCTGAGTAAGGATTCTTCTGTCATATTGTTAACATTGGGTCGACCAAATTTGTGGAAATTGTGCGAGGGAATGTAGCGCTTTTTTAAAAGAAACGTCGGCTAACAAGTGGCGCTTTGGAAAATGCTGATTACTGTGGGTCCTGCACACGTTGCACATCTCCACTATGTGTAAGACACACGAGCCTGTCTATGGGTACCGATTGCCAATGCACCGATGGTGTACAGATAGACCCACTGGGCCTCCTCCGGGTCTTGCATAAATAATCTGAACCATTCAATAATTATAAAAATATTTCTTTATTGGCTCTGCAAAACATCTGCTCAATCTAGTGAATGCAATTAATTGATCTAATGTACTAATTTTCCATTCAGGATACAAGAACCTGAATTCTGAATCACAAATTGGTATATTGGATCAAGCACTTTCAGTTTTCGAATAGAGCTAATTTTTAGCGAGGCCACTCGAAAAAGTATTTCAATATTAATGAATCAGTTCGGCTTATTGTGAGGGACCCGGAAATGAGTCCCACGGCCAATCTGTGCACCATCGGTGCAGT